TACTTTATTTTCGTCCCCAAGAAAATTCCTGCTAAAATGGAGTCGGAGGGTCCGATATAGCTGTTTAGAAGGAAGATCCAGTGCACGTTTGCGAAGCTGCTTATGTAAATAAAGGCGATGTAGTAATTGTAGTTAGCTAGAAGATCACCTTGGGTGGTGATTCGGACTATGCAGTGTTTGTTATCTGTATTCACGCAAATTTGAAATTTGCTAAAACTGTGACGAATTTATCGATAAATTGAACAATCAAAGCAACTAGTTTTTTATTAATCTTCGTATGAGTTAGCGCGAACCTTGCATGCAAGCTTCGTTACAGCATGTCGTGAGGGAATCTCCTGTAAATTTGCTGCAATAGAACCACTTTGGATCAGTCCGGGAAGTGCAAGCGTCAATACACTTGTCACTACGACCAGTTGGCAGACAGGCAAGGGATATCATTATTGCGATCGTTTTAACGAGAAAACTTGAAGGCATTGATGAGAAGTTCTTGTCCAAATGAAAGTGAAAATTTTCTATCGTCAGGCATCTTCAGACATGATTTATTCGCAAAGATACTTCATTGAAGAAGGTTACAGAAAACGAACATGATGCCGCGACTCTACTCCCGGCGCAATACCTCATGGATTTGAATTGTTTTCTCAGGACGAAGGAAATAGCTCGCTTTCAAATTGACCACTTGAGTTACTTTAGTGAAATTACTTTAAAGATGTGAACTAAAGACACAAACCGTTTCATTGACAAATGTGCGCTTGTTAAGAACAACTTGTGAGTTCGCCTCGGCATACCATCTCATTTTGTATGACTACAAGTTATAATCTGAAACTTGGGGTCGTAAGCAATGTCCATTGTGTAGATTTCATATTGAAGAGTAGGAAAAGAAGTGTCCAGTGAAAACAATGCAGCTTTGATGAAAACAAGGATTTGCTATACTTTTTTACGCTCATATGATATTGCTGATTCCGCTCCTGTGACCCATTTTCGACAAAACAACAGGTCGTGCTTCAACGAACCAGACATAAAGCAATCTAGAGAGCAGCCCACAATTCTGGGCGGAAAAAATAATTTTCCGGATCTTATAAGAAATATCACACCACTTATCGCCTTTGACGACTTAATTGTTGTGCTACAAATCTATGAAATTTACATTACACTTTTGTGGAATTGAGAATACTCATAAATACCAGAACATCGGTATGTATAGACAGTATTATTGTAGTAGTTTCGGTCTGTATAATAAATGATGTCACTATCCGCCCCTAGTTATAGAGGACGAAGCAATACCAGTCTGTGCAATTACTAACAGGAAAACTTATTTGTCGTGCAAGACAACGAGAAATTGTAACGAAAGTTAACACAACTGGACGAGACGGGCCATGATGATGAAGTTAGCGATTATAAACTTAACTTTGAAGATTATCGTGGAAAAAACAACAAAGATTGCAGTTGAGCCAACTGGCTACTTTTACGAAGAGCACCCGGACTTTGTCTGTTATCTCACGCGCTCATTTTACAATATGGGAAAGTCACCGCGGACGTAAAATTAGACCATCGATAAGCACATTTTGATATTAGTTTCAAAAGTGTGAGGTCAAAAATCACATCGACGTCATGCGGACGTATATGACACTGTCTGTGCCCATGTCTACGTTGGCGATCTAATTCTTGCAGATAAGTCAATAAAAACGATACTAGGTGAAACATGACATCTTATGTAGTAGTAGTAAGTAGTAAACGTGTTCTCGCGTTCATTACTCTAGGGTCAGTTTGCTAAGCCTCTTTGC